TAACCCTACCCCCTAACCCTAAACCCTAACCCTAAACCCTAACCCTACCCCCTACCCCCTAACCCTAACCCTGACCCTGACCTTAACCAACCCTACCCCTACCCCTACCCGACCCCTGACCTAAACCCTAAACCCTAAACTCTAAACTCTAAACCTAACCCAACCCTAAACCCTAAACCTAACCCTGCCCTAGCCCTACCCCTAAATCCTAAACCCTAACCCTGCCCTACCCCTACCCCTAAACCTTAACCCTGCCCTACCCCTAAACCCTAACCCTAACCCAACCCTAACCTCTAACCCTGCCCTACCCCTACCCCTAAACCCTACCCCTAACCCAACCCTAACCCCTAACCCTAACCCCTAACCTAACCCCTAACCCCTAACCTAACCCCCCCACCCTCACCCCCACCCCACCCCTTGACCCTAACCCCTAACCCTACCCCTAAACCCAACCCTTAATCCCTAACCTACCCCTTGACCCCTAACCCCTAACCCTACCCCTAACCTACCCCCTGACCCCTACCCCTAACCTACCCCTACCCTTGACCCCTGACCCCTAAACCCAACCCTAACCCTACCCCCTTGACCCCCTAACCCCTTAACCCTACCCCAACCCTTAACCCCTACCCCCTAACCTACCCCTTACCCTGACCCTAACCCCAACCCCTAACCCCTCCCCCTCCCCCCCACCCCTCCCCCTAAACCCTATCCCTCACTCTAAACCCCAACCCCGACCCCTGAACCCAACCCTGAACCTGACCCTAAAACCCTACCCCCAACCCCTTAACCCCCTACCCCCTAAACCCAACCCCAACCCCCTAAACCCCAACCCCTCACCCCTGGCCCTCTAAGCCTGACCCCAACCCTAACCCTACCCTGACCCTACCCCCAACCCCCTAACCCAACCTCCCCTAACCCTGAACCCTAACCCCCCTCACCCCCTAACCCCCAACCCTACCCCCTACCCCTAACCCCAACCCAACTCTACCCCTAACCCCTACCCCTAACCCCAACCCCTAGACCCCCACCCTAAACCGAACCCTAACCCCTACCCATCCCTAACCCCTAAAACCCCAACCCCTACCCCAACCCCTTAACAATAACACTCATGCCCTAAGCCAACCCTAACCCTTAACTTACCCCCTACCCCTAACCCCAACCTATCGGGTACCTGTGATTCCGCGAGGCACTTTAAGCAGCTCTGATCAATAACAGACATAGGTTTCTTGCACTGCTCGCAGGGTTTGAAGCCTGGAGCCACGGGCATACCCCATCCCTGGACTGAGTCCCACAAGGGACTAACAACCTATAGTAAGAACTATTAAAACTACTACTAAACTACACCATCTGTAATAAAACTATATACATTAATAAAAGCATCAGAAAAACCCGTCATAAGAACAGTTTGCTAAAGTACGAGGACATTCCAGCACCATCACTGGCGGTAAGAAGCAACTTATACTGCCGCATATGCGTGCAACTCCCGAGGGCAGCAGAGAGTTAGGGTTAGGGTTAGGAGAGAAATAGGGGTTTCTAGAACTCATAAGCTCAGCCTTGGAGTCCCTGAGCCTGCCTTTGTAGAAAATGGTGGATCCTTACGATCCAGTAAACTAAGAAAATACTCCTAGGAAACTGTTTGAAGGTTGGGTCATACCCAGAGCCTGTGAATGCATGACATACCCATAATCCCCTCTACTCCTACTTCTAGTACTTGCTATGACCGATTGCAGTAGATACATCCTTTTATTGTCATAAAGTACCAGCAAAATTAAGAGGACAGTTTATGATTCCACATTAACTTCACCCAGCAGTAAAACTAGTGAACCCTCCCTACATCAACAGGTGACACATGGATAGCATAAAATGGCTCTAAAGCCAGGGTGCACCTTACTTGACCTGCAGAGTGCCATCCTGATTGTTAGCACTTCACCAGCTGGAGATGGAATGCTGGTGCTACAAGTATGCTAATTGCTCTTCAGTACCCTTTCTGTGTGATGACAGCCACAGCTAGTAGGCTCCAGTTCAGGGGAAGAAGGGGGAGAGCCACATCTCATTTCTCCTCCAGGTTGCCAAGGACAAGTCCCACATTTCCTGATGTATGCATACTTGTGTAGAGAGGCTGGGGTGTGATGCTATCCTCAACCCTAAACCAACAGGACGTAAGCAGAGGTAGAATCTTCCCCAAAAAGTTAACTGCCTGAACATCTAGTGTTTTCACAGTGGGCAGGTGTGGCCTTTGAGCCAATGAAGCAGAAACATAGATGAAGCAAAATTTCACCAGTGGTATAAGATGTGCACAACAGCTGGGCTGCTGAAACCAGAACAGTCTGTGCTTGTGCCGCACAGAAGTGCCCAGGGTATCCTCAGCTAGATTTCCCATTCTCCTTCTCCTCTGCTTCAGTGTATCTGTGTAGAGAAGCCTAGGGGAAAAACAAAGATTTCCAGTGAATTATTTCTCATTTAGTCCTTCTATGGAAGGGGAAGGATTGGGCCTAGGGAACTCTCACCTCCATTCTGTGCAGTGGATCAGTTAGTGGGCTGTAATCTGAATAGGACTCATCATAGACTAAACATTCTTCTTTCAACCATAGTGCTAAACATCCTTCTTCTATCACATGCTTCCCCCATCTATTCTTACCTGCCTTTCCCCAATCCTGTCCCTCCCATCACTACCTGCTGCTCCTCTGCTTTTTGGAGGGACTGTTCAGATTCTGAGTTTCTGTGCCTGTCCCTGCTTGCAACAGGCTAGTGGAGATCCTCAGTTGCTGAATTTACCTGAGATAGAAGTTGTTCTTTCTGTAAGTGATTGTAGAACTGTAGCACGTACGGATTGGCTCTCACAACGTTGGGATCAAAATCCAAAACCCGGAGGCCCTCAAGGCTACGGGCTCGGGAAAGGGCTACATAAGCCTGACCACTTTCAAAGACACGAGACAGGGAGATCTCCACACAGTCTAATGACATGCCCTAGTACATGGAAGATACAGGTAAAAGCAAGTGAGCTCGCAACACAAAAGCCATCCCACACATCAACACCACAGCTTCATATGGAACCCATTGCCCCTATCCCCAATATAGTGAAGAACTGTGGTATGAGTGTCAAGAAAATGCTGCTCCTATTAATATCTAGCCCTTCCCAATGCAAAGGGAACTTCTCTATGAACTTGGCAGGAAGTAGATCGATGGGGTTGAAAAAGGGACTTCCTGGGGACATTTAGGTGAAATGGAGCAGGATTGTCCTTAGTCCCTCTTCTAACTTCCTTTTAGACACTTCTACTGAGAATTCTGGTCTCCCATAGTTAAGAAAGATTAATTCAAACTGGAACAGGTGCAGAGAAGGGTTACTAGGATGATCAGAGGAACAGAGAAAAAACGGTTACTTACCTTCTGTAACTGTTGTTCTTCGAGATGTGTTGTTCATGTCCATTACACATTAGATGTGCGCGCGCCGCGTGCACGAACGTTGGAAACTTTTTCCCTCAGCAGCTCCCGTCGGGCCTGCAGGGTCTCCCCTCCCGCCAGAGCGGCGCCCCGCTCTAGCGTATATATATATCCCTGCTGGCCCGACCCTCCCTCAGTTCCTTCTTGCCGGTGACTGCGACAGAGGGGAAGGAGGGTGGGAAGTGTAATGGACGTGAACAACACATCTCGAAGAACAACAGTTACAGAAGGTAAGTAACCGTTTTTTCTTCTTCGAGTGATTGTTCACGTCCATTACACAGTAGGTGACTCACAAGCTTACCATTGGAGGAGGGTAGGAGTCAAGGAATAATCGATTGAAGCACAGCTCTACCGACCGCAGCGTCCTCTCTGGTCTGGTGATGGATCGCATAGTGGGCTGTGAACGTATGCCCTGACGACCAGGTGGCCGCTTTACAGATTTCCTGGAGTGGCACCTGCGCCAAGAACGCCGTCGAGGACGCTTGGGCCCTAGTAGAGTGAGCCCTGATCTCCGGGGCTGGTACATTAGCGAGCTCATAGCACGTGCGTATGCACAGCACAATCCATGCTGACAAGCGTTGCGTCGATATAGGTTGGCCTCTCATTCGTTCCGCAACGGCAACAAACAGTTGAGTCGACTTGCGGAATGGCCTGGTCCGGTCTAGATAAAAAGCCAAGTGGCTTCGTGCTCCCTACTGGCCTGTGCTCTGTGGGCATATCTGCTGGAACGGCCCGAGTCTATGTCCGAAACTACAGATGGTGATCTGGACGGCCACGGCGGTGCCGTGGAACGGTGCCGGTCCGGGTTCGGAGAATAGTGCTTCCGTGACCGGGAGTAGCGTCTTGCCGACCTGGATCGGTACCGGTGACCCCGGGAGCGACTGCGGGAGGTCGGTCTCGGGGATCGCGCAACCGACACGTCCCAGTGCCTACTCGTGCCAGGCTGCTGGGTCGGTGCCGTGCGCTTATTGGGGCCCGACAGTTGCGCGGCAGGGAGCCGGGAGTCCACCGAGGCGGAGCTCGACCGGGACCGGCGCCGTGAACGGTGCCGAGATGGCGACCGTGATGGGCGCTCCATTGCCGGCTTGCCTCTGGATGGCAGTCTCGGCAGATTGTCCTTAGCGCGGAGGGTGCCCTCAGCGGACAATTCAATGAGGTCCTTTGCTGCCTCAAATGTGTCTGGGGTGGAGGGCTGTTCCAAAAGTTCCTGCAGCCCTTCCTCCTCACTCGACGCGCTTATCCCCGGGGCTCGACGGGCCTTTCGGCGCCAGAGCCACTGGCGCTGGGATCTCTGCTGGGGCCGCAACGGCCTTAGGTGCACTTGTGGTCTTCGCGGGCGCTACCCTCTTATGCGGGGAAAGTCCTTGGACTGACCCTTCGATTTAGCCGGCGAAGACGACCGGTGCCAGAGGTGTTCACGCTGATTTGGTGCCGTGGGCTTAGGTTGCCCCGCCGGCGTCGGATCACGGACCGATGCCGGGGCACTCCGCACCGAGGTAGACGGTGCCGTCGAAGTGGAGGGCTGTAACGCCGTCTCCATGAGCAGCTGCTTCAGGCGAAAGTCTCTCTCTTTTTTAGTCCTGGGCTTAAAAGCCTTACAGATCTTGCAGCGCTCCGTTTGATGTGCTTCCCCCAGGCAACGGAGACACGAGTCGTGTGGGTCGCTTACTGGCATAGGCTTGCGGCACGTGGCAGAAGCCTTGAAGCCTTGGACGTGCGGCATGCCCAGCCGCCCAGGGCCGGTGTTGGCCAAACACCCGACACAAGTGGAGTTTAAGTCTTTCTAAATAGCCAGGGGCTTGCAGCTTTAGACTAACTACTAAAGAACTGATAACTGTAAGCTAACACTAAGTACTATGCTAAGGGACACTCTCAGACGAGAGATAGAGTTGTTCCAACGTCGCCACGGGCGGTAAGAAGGAACTGAGGGAGGGTCGGGCCGGCAGGGATATATATACTCTAGAGCGGGGCGCCGCTCTGGCGGGAGGGGAGACCCTGCAGGCCCGACGGGAGCCGCTGAGGGAAAAAGTTTCCGACGTTCGTGCACGCGGCGCGCGCACACCTAATGTGTAATGGACGTGAACAATCACTCGAAGAAGAACCTACCTTATGAGATGAGACTTAAAGAGCTTGACATGTTTAGCCTAACAATATGAAGGCTGAGGGGAGAGAACATTACTCTCTCTAAGTACATCAGAGGGATAAACAGTAGAGAGGGGGAGAAGTTAAGGGTTAAGGCTGGCACAAGAATGATGTGACCCTACATACTGACTATTGTAATAATCTTTGAACAAAATAGGCTAAGGTATCATTTGAAAACTAATAATTTGCTAGTCAAGAATATCATGGTGAAATGCATGCAGCAATATTGTTTGTGAAGTTATGAATTATCCCTATATGATGTTGTTAGCACATGTTCAAAACCAGACAACAGTGCCTAGGCAAAAGTTGTTAAACAAGTTATCCTAAATAAAGGAAACTGAGGTTACTCACCTTGAACTGTATATGTGTGGTTCCTATCTGTATTCCACTGAGGATTTTACACATGCGCCTGGAGCCGGAGCTTTTGAAAGTAGTACTGTTTGGTGGTCCGCGCACACACCCTGCACTGCCTTGTGGTTTTGTACGAGGCACTAAAGGGTGTGGGGGGCTGCCGGTGTCTCCAGTTCCTTCTCCACTGCAGACCTATCGGATCTGCAGCAGAGGGGAAGTAGGGTGGGCAGTGTAATACAGATAGGGACCACACATCTCAAAGAATCTCCAGTTACAAGTAAGTAACCTTGTTTTCTTCTTAGAGTGATGGCAAGAGTTTCTTTAATTTTAGCATAGTGGATCAGGAATAACAGTCATAGAGGCTTAGCAGTGCCTGGTGGTTGGAGATCCTCAACTGGAGGCCCTCCTCATCGAGTATACTTTCCTCCCCAACACGTCCAGTTTCCTGGCTTCCTTTGCCTTAGGCGGAGGGTCCTTGCTGCCTTTATCTTTCCTGCTCATTAGCAGCGGCCACGACCAGGGATCCTGGTGGGGGTTGGGTGTACAAATAATCATACCCCTTCGAGAGCACAAAATACTTCCTCTATATCTGCTTTGCCATGGGCTGGAGAGATGTGGGGGTTTGCTACAGAGCCCTCATGGGATGCAAGATGGCCTTGTTCAATGCTAGGGCCACCCTTGTCAGTCCTGAGGGTGCCAATATGTCCACCAAGGCTGGGGCTGACTCCGTGATCTCCTCCACTTTAACACCCAGGTTCTGTGCCACCTGACAAGAGCTCCTGGTGAGCCTTGTAGTTGTCCTGTATAGATGCTATAGCCATACCAACCACTGCCTCATCAGGGGAAAAAGGACAAGGAAGCTTGGACTGGCACCAGGTTTGTATGTCCTCCATTGCTGAATGGGGTCCCGAGCATTGCTGACTTCTGCCCCCGGAATGGAGCCCCTCTCCGAGGGGGAAAGGTGGAGGTGCTCTCGCCTCTGATGGTGCTGAGCAACATCGCCTTGAGTGGGAGCCCTGGAACAGCTGAGCCACCCAAGGGGTCCAGATTGGCCACTGGAGTGGCATCTGCCATTGGATAAGAGGCGACGCTGATGGGACGAGCCCTTGAGTCATGGCTACCAGGCACGTAGGGTCCGCCCAATGTCTGCTCATTCGTGAGGTGCATGAGTCTGCCTGCGATTTGAAGCCCAAAGACCCACTCCTGGGCGATCATGGCGGTGCTGGGTAGTGGTGCTGTGATGGTGAGTGTTGATGTGTTAGTGCTGCTGTGGTGAGTGACACCGTGGGGCTGAGCCCCGCGAAGATGAATGAGATGGCGGATGGTGTCTCGCCATCATTGCCAGCCTGCCCAGGGCCGGTGCCTGCCTTCGTGGAATGGAGTCCTGCGATGCTGGACCTGTCCCTTGTTGGCCACGATTCAGGGAAGATGGCAGTGCTGGAAGGGCCAGGAGGCTCCTCACTGCCTCATATGCCTCAGGGTGTCAATGGTGCAGCCAGGGCTGTAACCCCTCTATTGCTCACCAGACACAATGGACCTCCTCCTGGGACCGAAGTCAATGGTGTCAAAGTCAACAGTGTTGACAGTTCAATGTCTGTTTGAGAGTGGCCCAGCACAGGTCTCACTCTCTCAGGCATCCTCCTCAGGGGGGAGCGCCCCAGTCTGACTTTTTCCATTTTCTTCTTCAGCACCGGTGATGGAGAGCAGCGCTGTGTGAACGGTGCTGACTTCTTAGCTGGAGAAATATGTTGGTAGCGGGTGGTAGTTGGTGCTAGGGATCTTGGGCCATGCTGAGCCCCTCTAAAGGAGGCCAGGACACTCCTAACCAAGGAGGTACTCGGTGCCAGATTGGGTTGATGCTCCGACGAGGGGCGAAGTGCTGCCTCCATGAGAAGGAATTTGAGTCTACTATCTCTCTCCTTCCTGGTTCTGGGTTTAAAGTTTTTACAAATCCGGAACTGTTCTTGAACACGCCCTTTTCCCAGGAACTTCAGGCAACTATTGTGCAGGTCACTAACTGGCATGGGCTTGTAGCACACTGCTTAAATCCCCGGGACCCAGGCATGCTCGGGCACCCTGGGCGGGCTAGCTCCGCAGGGTAGGCACTTACAAATATTTACATCTATTTATTCTTTACCCTCTATTTACAGGATGAAACCACTAAGGTGTATCACTTGCTAAATCAGAGATTAACTGCAATCCAGTGACAGCCACAGATGAAAAGAAGGAACTGAGGGGGGTGGTGGGTCAGCAGGTGCCTATCTACTGCACTATGAGGATGCCACTCCAGGGGGCACCAGAGCCGACCCGACAGATACCACTGGGGAAAAACTTTCAGCAATTTGCTTATGTTTTAGCCTTTTAGATGTAAGTTTTCACTTTTATTTGCTTGTAACCATTTCTAACTTTCTCATATTTGAATTCACTTAATCTTCTTCTTTTATTAATAAACTTGTTTTATTTATAACCTAAACCAATACAGTGCTCTGTTTAAACTGAACCATTTGGTAACTCCAGTTAAAGTAACAAACTGTTGAACATTGACTCTGCTGTGCCTAAATACATGCCTACAGAGTAAAAAAGAAAGATGGTTTAACTCCAGGACACTGGGTAACGTTTTCAGGCCTGTTGGCAGCTGCTGCTCCAGAACCGTGAATGGTAGTACCCTTTGAGCCAACATACCATAACCAAGGCAAAGGGAGGAAGAGGAGGCAGTTTCCTTCCTCCCGGTCATCAGCAGTGCAAGCATCCTTAGGCAACCCTGCCCCCAAAACCTCCACTTCCCCCAACCCACACAGGTGCCCTGGGGCTCCCCTCTCCCGCTGCCAGTGGCACAAACACCCTAAGAACATGAAGGTAAAGGGGAATACTTTTTGTGGCAGTCTCTCTATAAAAGCACTAACCTGGCTCTTGTGGATGGATATGGCCCATGCCAATTTTAGAGGTAACTGTTGACGACTCAGATAAATTCCAGATGGACCTTTGAAGACCCATCGCTCCAGCCTGATTACCTCTGTGACCCCACAAAGAAACCTCACACGGGGCAGTCCTGGGAGAGAGAAGAGCAGGTCAGAATAAGGAATGTCCCTCTGGTACCAGCGTTCCCAGGAAGCAGGAGCCTAAGTATGCCCTCTTCCCATCCCTTCCCATTTCAGACCAACTCTTCCATGGGCCTTGGGGCTCTATTTAGAAAAGCACAACTCAGTCCTGCTGCTCCTCTAGCACAGTGGTTCTTGCTGGAGTAAGGGGGGGGGGGGGGAAGATAGCTCAGTGGTTTGAGCATTGGCCTGTTAAACCCAGGGTTGTGAGTTCAATCCTTGAGGGGGCCATTTAGGGATTTGGGGCAAAAATCTATCTGGGGATTGGTCTGGCTTTGAGCAGGGGGTTGGACTAGATGACCTCCTGAGGTCCCTTCCAACCCTGATATTCTATGGTTCTATGACCCTGTAAAGCATTCAGAGAAGGCACCCTTAAGTAGGAGAATGAACAGAACTATTTTCCAGAAACAGAGCAGAGAAAACATGAAATAGTGGGGTGGAGGGTTGGAACACTGCATTGCTGAAAAGCTACATTTGTTCTTGCTATTGGAAAGATGTACTGCTGCAAGGAGAGAGCATGAGTGCACATGGTCAGAAACCAGGTGAGAACAAGCATGCAGAGCCAGAGAATGATGAAACACACACAGAGCAAACCTTTAAGCAGCTATACCAGGGGGCTTGGCCTGCTCCTTGGTTCTCACAGGTAGGGAGAACTTGATGTTGCAGAAATTACTCTCCCACCCAGGAATTGCAGTAGGACTAACAGCAGACACTGGCAAACAGTCATAAGCACATCATATAGGGTTGCCAATCCTCCAGAATTGTCATGGATTCTCCAGAAATTAAAGATTAATCTTTAATTACAGATTATGTCATGGGATGAAGTCTCCCGGAATATATCCAACCAAAACTGGCAACCTTAACATTATATACTCACCCTTCCCTTCAGTTTCAAATTCAACCACAACCCCTCTTGCCCCATTCACCAGACCCCGGGACACATCCAGGTTCTTAGTAAGAATCACCTAAAGTGGAAAGGAAAGATGGATAGATTTGTTTGGTGCCCCTGCCTTACAGCTCTATTCATTCACCTGCCTTGCCCCAGTTCTGCTCCTACATCAGAGGCTTCAGAATAATTGGCTGATACTGTTGATGCTACTGTAGAACCTAGCAACAGTAGATGGAATCACCTCACAGTGAAGCCATCCCAGAGCTCCTCCCTCCCCAGGGCTCTCAGGTGTTGAGCTTCACAGGGCACAGATCCCATCACCCCTTTACTCTGTGTGAAATTGCTCTGGGAAGATTGTGAATTGGTTCTGTCTACAACCTAAGTCACATATTAGCGACACTTGGATCTCTGGGAAGATTCCTCCCCACACTCCAGCAGCTTACAGGGACTTTAAAGAGACAGAAAGTGGCCAGGGAACAATTCTCCAATCCAGACAGTGTAGGGCCATTGTAAGCAGCCCTATGGTGCCCCTCACACCCAAACCCTGGCGTACAGGGTGTACTGGTGATGGGAGGTCAGAGCCTTAGCACATGGTGCTGCAGGGATTCCGAGCTGTGCCATAGTCCACAAGAAGCGTAGCTCTAATTTATGCTGGGAGCTGAGCAACCTAGAATCCAGACAGCACAAAAGTGGCTTTAAGTGGCCTTTTCCTCCAGTCCCCACCCCCATCTGTACTTAGTGATTCTGTGCTGTGCATCCAAAGTCTCTTTTCCATTGGACACAGAGGAAGCAGTCACCTTGGTCAATCAGTCTTCAAGCAGAGACTGAGACTTTGAATTTAAACCAAGTGGCTTTCATCCACCTGGATCAGACTGCAGAAAAGGTGAAGGACATCTTATAAATTAATGTAATGGCCTGTTTGTTTAGAACAGCCTGGGGTCTGAGGGGTGCTTCCATTTCACACCCAGTCCACATCCCTGTGCTGTTATCCTTAACTCTTTCCCCAAATACTGACTCTAATCCTTCTGTTCTATTGGCCATTACTCCCCATAAAATATGCATATGCTCACCTGGGCTCCTGGTTTCAACTGAATACAGTGACTTACTGGACACTGAGCATCAATTGCTTTGACTAGCATGGGATTGCTATCCACAGCCTCATAGGAGTGCATTTCTCCTGGTGAGGACGAAAGCAATACAAACATGGGCTTACTATCAATCACCACACAACAAAGTCCCTAAATATGGGGAAGGCTTGGCACTCACTCCACAGCAGGTTTCTCCAGACGGAGCCAGAAGGGTTCTTAGTTTCCATTTTGAACTCAGTCCCAGAAATCCTGCTCTCCACACAACTCTTGTATACCCCAGAAAGGATCTCTTCCAGTAGCTTCCAAGAGCAGAAAGCCCCTGCTGGCTCTCCCCTACCACCTGCTCCAATTTACACCTTCCAGAGCTTGTGGATCTGAATGTATGTCTACACTGGAATGTAAGCCCTGGGTTAGTGGGACTCGAGTCAGTTGACCCATGTTAGGGAACCCTGGGCTGGAACATCTACATTGTATTTTAACCCTTTGTTAAAGACTTTTCTAACCCATGCTTGAATCTAGGGTGCTGCAGACCAGAGTCAATGTAATCACATCCCAGAGTCCCTCGTGCTCTATTCCCCCACCCACAAAATAGTGAACATAAGAACGGCCATACCGGGTCAGACCAAAGGTCCATCTAGCCCAGTATCCTGTCTACCGACAGTGGCCAATGCCAGGTGCCCCAGAGGGAGTGGACCAACAGGCAATGATCAAGTGATCTCTCTCCTGCCATCCATCTCCATCCTCTGACAAACAGAGGATGAGGACACCATTCCTTACCGTCCTGGCTAATAGCCATTAATAGCCAGTGTGGCTGCTCTAGCCCCAGGAACGTGGTGTACTGTGGGAAAACTGTACTGCCTGCCCTGCATGTTACAGGAAAGTTGAACAGCCCACCAACCTAGCCTGCTGAGCAGTCATTTTTGGTCTGCTACTGGAGCCACAACATGGAGAAGGCGCCTTTTGATTAATTTTCTTGCTTGCACTTTCACTCCTGTGTCAGGAAACTGACAGAAGAGTCATGAGGCTCTGATGGATGTTTCAGCACTGTTTTCTGTCCCACAAAAAGGTCTGTTTTTAATAGTGTGGATTGCAGATTACTGGGATAGAGAGGACTAAGGAAGTTATCCCATGGAACTATGGGATACTTATGGCTGATTCCTGGGACCCAAGTCAAGTGGGGCTTAACTGGAGCTTGCACCCTCCAGCCCAGCAGCATTCTGGTCTGAGCCCTAGGTTAGTGCAATTACAGTGTAGATGCAAGTGGGGTGGGGGGGACTTGAGCCTGGGGTCAAGCATGGATTTACATTGCAGCATAGACATGCCCAGAGAGGCCAGGCACTGAGCAGTCAGACTGCAATTGCAGCTTTAAGAGTGTGGCCACTTCTTCTTGCTCTGCTTCCCTCTCACAACCAAAGCTACCATGAAAGGAAATTTAGCACAGGGAGGCTTTGTAGTCTGCAGTTTCTATAACAGACCTGCATTTCCCAGGAGTCTCCAGCTTGTAGACCCCCATTCCAGCACCCGCCTCCCTGAGGAGTCTCTGGCTTCAGGACAGTTGTTAGAATAATGGCAGAGTCTCCTCCCTTTTATGCCTTTGCCAATGGATGAATGCAAGACCACCCCCCCAGTTTTTCCAGCAAGACCACCCAGAGACAGCTGGGGGAGACTCTCTGGGCAAGAAACACGTAACTAGCAGTGAAGCAGAAGCAGCAGACTGTGCACTAGCACCTCCTGAGAAGAGGCAGGCCTGCATGAGGTATTGGATGGGAGGGGAGACTAGGAAATTAATGAATTGAGGGGCAGGCCTGGTCTACAGCTGGTTGGAGTGAAATATGAATGTGTGTAATAGGACATTTGTTAGGCATAGTTTATGCAAATTTCACATAGTATAGATTATTACCTGTATAAATTATTAAAAAACCACCACACATACCCTAGGCAGGTCTGACCCTACAATAACCCCTCATATCCATGAAGCCAGCTGGAAGAGGTTGCGACTAGAGCAGCTTGAGCTCCACAATGCCAGTTCTCCATTCCTCATTATCTACAGTGTCCTCTCCTCCTGCTGAAATTAACAGCTCTTTCTCCCCCCGGGTGTTTACCTGGTAACTGTTGCAACCGTCTCTCATTTGTTAGTTCCACATCATCCTTGTGGGTGCAGAGACGAGTTGCAAGGATCCCATCTCTCTCAACCCTGTTGGTAGCTGTTTGCATCAGCTGCCTGGTGACTTCATCTGTGCACCTGGTGGAGATTGGGGGGAAATAAGTACCATAATAATATAACAAGGAATAAAGGTTTAAAGTCTCCAACAGGAAATCTCAGGTGAGAAATGCCAAGAATAGTGATATCTATTGTACGTCTTGGGCAAACACCACAGGGTAGCTACCCCTATTGAAAGTGTGAGTTATTTCAACTTGTGCATACAAGTCCTGCTCTCCACACCCCCGTGGCCTTATCTCTCCTACTAAGGTCCTTAAGGTCTCCCACCACTGCTCTAATGGAGCTTCTCTAGGACTAGTCATAGTGGGAGCACAAATGTAAACAGGCCATTACAGTTAAGCCACTGTGTTGTTCCAGACCTGTGCTGACTGCTAGATCTACTCTATTGCTCCTATCGAAGTTGCTGGACTGGACTGATGTAACAATAAAAGATTGAGAACATTGTTAGTTACCAGTGTCACTGAAAGCATCCATATGGGGATTTCATGAGATATCACCAACACTTTTTACCCCTTGGATGATTTATTCACAAGGTGGATGTATGTGACAAGCACATTCTTGTCCCCTGCCCCCCATCTCCTAATGCCCATGGTTGCCACCTGCAAGAGCAGCTCATCACCCACACAACCTTATACAGAGACAGAGAAGGACACTTCCAGGTGTAGGGTTAGGTTCCAAGGAATTGAACATCAGGTTTCATTTGTTAATTTTATACCAGCATTGCCATATTGTTCATGTGTCTCAAGACCATTAGATCCATCAACAGTCAGCATGGCAAGTAAAATGGACACCTTGGAGCAGAGACTATGAGTGATCACAATGGAGGCAGCCTGCTCAACCGGGCAAGAAGCAACTAGTATTACTGCTTTCATTAGCTGGAGGAGGAGTTGAGAAGCTGTGGGGCTTGGGAGTGGGTGATGCAAAGATGTGTCCAGGTCCCTTAACAGCCATCTACCCAGCTATACCACCTTTAGATGATGTTGGAGAGGTAGCCAAGTGACACCCCCCTGCACTGGGCCATCTATGGGAAGTGGGGGCAAGTAGGGGAGGGAGGAGGAAAGAGGTTCCTCCTCACCTGCCCAGGCGGATTGTACGCAGGAGTGAGATGAAGCTCTTTTCAGTCTGTCTCCGCACTTCTGTCAGCTCCATGTTCACGTGGATGCATTTCCTCCAGCTCTTTGCCTGTGAATAAGTTGTTCATTATTAGGAGACAGCCACGAACAAAGTCTGAAGTAGTGGGTAGGGACGGCTTCACACCTGGAAGCAGAACTTGGTTTCCTCATTGCTTTTGCTGACTGGTGGCAGTTGTAAGAAGTCCCCACAGATGATCAGCTGTATTCCTCCAAATGGGTCATCCCGTTTCCTGACAGCTCTGTAAGGGGAGTGATAATTTAATATTTTCATTAATGACCCTGGCACAAAAAGTAGGAGTGGTCTCATTAAATTTGCTGATGACAAAATGTTGGGAGTCCTCATCAATACAGAGGATTTGTCAAGAACAAGCCATACCAAACCAGCCTAATGTCCTTCTTTGACAGGTTTACTGGCCTAGTGTATGTGGGGAAGTTGCACACATGATAACTTGATTTTAGTAAGACTTTTGGCACATCGCCACATGACATTCTCATAAGCTAACTAGGGAAGTGTGGTCTAGATAAAATTACTATAAGGCAGGTGCAAAACTGATTGAAAGTCCTTACTGGAAGAGTAGTTATCAATGGTTCACTGTCAAACTGGGTGGATCTGGGGGACTCCCACAGGAGTCTTTCCAGGATCCAATACTGTTCAATATTTTCATTAATGACTTAGGTGCTGGAATGAAGAGTATGCTTACATACAGGGGTGAAAGTAATATTAAACGCTTACCCGTACGGGGGCCAGGCTCCGGGCCCCGGGCGGAAGGGGCAAGGCTAGAGGGTCAGCCTCCCCCAGCCAGCCGATCCGCGCTACCTGGCCTGCGCCACCTGGGGCTTCAGCAGCGATTGAAAAGGGCCCAGGGTCCGGCTGCTGCAGTGGCAGCCCTGGGCCCTTTTCAGTCGCCAGCCCTGGGGCAGCTGCCCCCCCCCAACTGGGAAAGAGGCAGTGATGCTGAAGCGCTGCTGCGGCAGCATTTTAACATCAGCTGCGTACGAGCCGGCAACGGCTTCTTACCAGTATGCCGTACCAGCCCACTTTCACCCCTGCTTACATATAATATACAAATTTGTGAATGACATCAAGCTGAAAGGGGTTGCTAATGCTTTGAAGGACAGGATTAGAATTCAAAAGGACATTGAAAAATTGGAGAATTGGTCTGAAAGCAACACAGAAGACAATAAAGAAGTGCAAACTACTACACTGAGGAAGAAAAATAAAATCAAATACACATCTATAAAATGTAGAATAACTGGCTAGATGGTTGTACTGCTGAGAAGGATGTGGAGGTTATAGTGGATCACAAATTGAATAGAAGTCAACAATGTGATGCAGTTGTGAAAAAGGATAATTTAATTCTGGGGGGGTATTAAGAGGAGTGTTATATGTAAGACATGAAAGGTAATTGTCCTGCTCTACTTGTGATTGTTAAGGCCTAAGTTGGAGGCCTCAGTACAGTTTTGAGTGTCGCATGTTAAGCAAGATGGAGACAAATTGGAGAGAGCTCAGAAAAGAGCAACAAAAATAATAAAAGGTTTAGAAAAGCTGACCTAAGAGGAAAGTTTAAAAAATCTGGGCAAATTTAGTTTTGAGAAACAAAGACTGAGGGGGGTCCTGATAACAGACTTCAAATGTGATAAACAGCTTCATAAAAAGGATTGCATTCAATTGTTCTCCATGTCCAGTGAAGGTAGGACAAGGAGTAATCAGTTTAATCTGCAGCAAAGAAATTTAGATTAGATATTAGGAAAATCTTTAACTAGAACGATAGTTAAGTACTGAATTAGGCTTTCAAGGAAGGTTGTGGAATCTCCTTCATTTTAAGAACAGGTTGGACAAACACCTGTCAGGGATGGTCTCTGCCTATGTGGTCCTGTCTCAGGACAGGGGGTTGGACTAGATGACCTCTTGAGGTCCCTTTCTATGATTCTATAATCCAGAGCCTCCCAACTACTCTAGCCATTAGCAACCTTACCTCCCAATACAGCAACAGGTGGGATAAGGCAATCCGTGATCCAAGGAACTTTATCGGAGTTATAAGGACTCTTTGCTGCATGACCCTCACCTGGCTACTGCCTCCAGTTTATCAAAAAACTGGCCCTCCACCATTGAAATCTCATCAATAATTAAGTGCTGGCAGCTCAACCAATGCTGACGCACTCCAGTTCTTTGAGCCAACTCAATACACTGATCTAGCGGAGCTTTCCCAGAACCAATACCTAATGAAAGAAGAGAACAGAGTAAGTATAATCTTTACCAAGATGCCAAGAGTTCCCAGGTCCTTTTCACTCATCTTCCCCATAGCATAGCAAGCCAGGGAAGGTTCTCAAGCGGAAAGTTATCCTCCTTACCTGCAAAGGCATGGAGCGTGGTGCCACCAACATGACAAGCTGCCACTCCTGTACTGGCTGTAGCATAGGTGCTCTTTGGAGGGAGTGAACCCACAATCTTTTTCAGCAGATATGACTTCCCAGTCCCTTTTAGAAGAGTATAAAAGTTCTTTCAGAAAGAGGCTTTCCCCTGACACCATTAGAGACACGTCCCCAAAACCATGCAGTTTGAATTCCAGTCCCAAATTCCTCCTAATACCACCCTCCATTCTGCTCATTCAAAACTTCACATGTCCAAAAACACTAGGAACAAAAGAAAAGAACAGCCCGACCACATAGAGCTCAGGTAGTTGTAAAACCAACTGTGTCAGGAAAGGGTTAGCTCTGTTTGACCATTTAGATAAAATGGAGTTTAGGGGTTATTTCGCCCCTCCCATTTAGGGTGCAATAAACTCCCCACACTGGAACCCAGTCATGGAGGAGAAACCATGGTAGCTATAGGAGTATCTTAGTGTCATCATTTATATTGGCAAAAACCTCTCCCCAACATGGATGATTTAAAAGATTTCACTTTTTGCTAAAGTTGAATTGTTCTTTCCCCTCATTCCACTTTTTAATGTGCATCTTTGATTAAAGTTTCTCCCTTACACCAAAATGAAACTCTCAAGCATCACTAGATACAGCTACACTTAGACAAAAGGCTTGACCCATTGCGCATCTGCACTAAGCGTCGCAGAGTGCCTAGGTTGCAACAGTGCCAATTCCAAGTGTTAAAAATTATTAATCAAGCCCCCAAAATCATGAGATTAAAATCTAGTGTTTAAAAAAATAATAAAGAAACAAGTGAGTTCTCTTAATTGCCTTCTGGTTTAAGAACCTTTAGGCTTCTCATTTGATGCTTTGCTCAGCAACTACGAGAACCAGAAACTTCACTTAAAATTAAAGGAGATTCTCACATAATCACGACTTCAGGGGCTGGGTATTTAAACAAACAAAACAAAAAAATAACATAAGACTTGTGATAAAAATCACAAGAATTGGCAACACTGGTGCAAGTAAGATTGTGATGCCCTACTTTGACAAGCAATAAGACAACAACCCAAAAATCTCTGCTCCCTTACAAGACCATATGGCTTAATAAATTAAAAAAAAAGGGGGTGGGGGGGAAGATGTGAGGCATGAGACAGGGCATATTTAAAGACAGGGCCTTAAGCATGAACCTCATCATGCTAAAGAGGTGCTTAGCTATGTCCTCCCCCCTAGGCCTCCCTATTGCTGTAGACAGGGGCACATCAGCATGCATTAATGAAGACTCAGGTTTCTGTACTACTTTTTGTAGTAATTTCCCTCTGTTGATATTCACCCCCTCTTGTCAACTGTTGGGAATGGGCCACATCCACCCTGGTTGAATTGGCCTCATTAGCACTGACCCCCCACTTGGTAAGGCAACTCCCATCTTTTCATGTGCTGTATATTTATAGCTGCCTACTGTATTTTTCACTCCGTGTATCTGATGAAGCGGGTTATAGCCCATGAAAGCTTATACCCAAATAAAATTTGTTACTCTAAGGTGCTACAAGGACTGCTTGTTGTGACTTAACATGGAGTCACAAACAGTCCCCATGGGCGTTCTAGTCTATCTTACCACCCAGGCAAGATGGACTTAGTGATAGATGGTTACTTTACACACATACACACAATTAATTCAGGTTACCCCTAGTCGCAAAGGACCAGTCACTTACGCCAGGTCAATTTGTACCTTAGATCTCACACCAAAGACAACGCTTGTATACAATTCTATAAACTATCTAAGCCTTAAAGATTTAGTAATTAAGAAAAGAAATGAGAGAATTATTGCAAAGTTAAAGCAGGAAAACATACACACAAATGAGTTGCAGTCTATGGTTTCAAAAGGTGACAGTTGTAATAATCTGTCAGCTCGGACTGTCTTTTAGGGCTAACGCAGGTTAAAACTGGGCATCTCTGCTTCTGTTTCATAGCTCTGGTCCTGTGAGAGTCCAAACAGCAAGAAAATTTTGATAGCTACTTTTATTTCATTCTTCCACAATTCAAACGGATGAGACAAGCCCTTTGGCATATAGCCTCTTCATGGGAGTAAGGGGCAATTAAGTATTGTGATGTTCCACAATGGCCCACTTAGTTTTGATAAAAGAACAGGAGTCCTTGTGGCACCTTAGAGACTAACAAATTTATTAGTTTTGATAGGCCTTCTTGATGATCCCTCCTGACTGGATTCACAATTTAAGCAAACATTTTTTATAGTTCCAAAGCAAAAAAAACTTAAAATATTACTATATAATTTCTTACTTACAGAATGTGATATTATGAAATGCTTGCAAATTGGTTCATGCTTTAAACAGTAAACACATAGTTATAAGTCCAATACCCATCTTAACCAAACTAACAGACAGGTGAAACAGACTGGTTTCTAACAATCAATTTGTCAGTGCTCAGCTTGGGGGTGTGACACTGGCAGACTAGGTGCCAGCTCTTGCCAATGCAAAACTGGTGTAGGAAGGGGTGTCACCAATGCTCCTGAATATGGCTCAGGGTCCCCCTGTTCTGGATAAGGCATCTGCTACTACATTTTCTTTCCCCTTGATATGGGGTATCTTTCCATGTCAACTTCCTGTACAGCTAGGCTCCAATGTAATAATCTAGAAATTGGTCCCCTTAGCTCAGTGTATTATATTTATAGGGGAATGATCTGTCAAAACCTTTATTATAGAAATAAGGTTGAAGTTGCTTAACAGACCAAAGAATGGCATCGCATTCCTGCTTGATGGCAGCATAGTTCTGTTCAACGGGGGTCGGTTTGTTACTCAATAAGGCAATGGGGGGCCTCCTGTTTCCCACCCCAGCCTGCATCAGCACCACACCTAACCCAGTGTTAGAAGCATCAGTGCACAGCACAAATAGGGTTGCCAACTGTCTAATCACACAAACCCAAACACTCTTGCCCCTCCCCCTGCCTCTTCTCTGAGGCCCCACTCCCACTTACTCCATCCGTCACTCACTCTCCTCCACCCTCACTCACTCTCACCAGGCTGGGGCGGGTGGTCGGGGTGCAGGCTTTGTGAGGGAGTCTGAGTGCAGGAGGGGCTCAGGGAGGGTGCAGGCTCCAGCCAGGCAGCGCTTACCTCAGGCGGCTCCTGGGAAGCATGTCTGGCTCCTAGACTCAGGGGCGGACAGGGTGCTCTGTGTGCTGCCCCTGCCTGCAAGGACATCCCCCGCAGCGTCCATTGGCTGCGGTTCCAGCGGCAGCACTTGGGGAGTGGGCAGCACACACAGACTCCCTGGCCACTCCAGCGCCTAGGAGCTAGAGGGACTTGCCAGCGGTTTCTGGGAGCCACACGGAGCCAGGGCAGGTAAGGAGCCTGCCTTAGCCCCACGGCACTGCCAACTGGACTTTTAAGGGCCTAAAATCTCCCAGATTGGCCTCAGTAACCACTGGGAGATCAAGGCCCAATCCGGCAACCCAAAGCACAAAGGGTTTGCTGAAATCGGGGCTGACTAAAACAGGTTCTTTAGACAAAGCCTCTTTTAGGTCCTGGAAGCTTTTCTCACAGACTTCTGTCCATACCACCTGATCTGTTTTCCCCTGTTTTGTAAGGTCTGTTTTGGGGGAGGGCCACTATGTCGCTAAACCCCTTTACAAACCTCCAGTAATAATTGACCAGATCGATAAAGGATTGGAGCTGCTTCTTGGTTTGTGAGTCAGGCAGACTTCAAATGGCTTCTACTTTTAAAGGGCCAGAGCAAACAAATCCACTGCGCATCTTGTGTTGGATTAGACTTTTTTCCCAGAACAAAGTTCTCATTAGTGCTATCACCAGTGTAGCACCACTGTTGATAGCACTAATACAGATGGGGAAGAGGGCATTTTAACCACTAAGTAGATTTAAACTGACATTAATAAAGTGACAGAAACTGCCGGTGCTTTCACTATATTAGAGCTGCACAGGCTCAGATGAACCAGTGGGAGCACAGGTGTGAAACTTTTGCTAAAACTTCAGTGTGGAATAGGCCCAAAGTTTTCTTGGAGCTCACAATACCAAACTAAAGCTTTTCAGCCCTAATTTGAGTGCAGTTAGGACACGTGGGGTAACCTTGCTTCACTTCAGCTATGCAGTTTCTCACCAGCACTGCCTGTAAAGAAGACGTTCTTCCCACTCAGCACTGCACTCAGCACAATGGACTGTTCCTGCGAGAGTCTCATTCGTGACTGCATTAGCAGAGATAGCTTCTTTGAGCATTTCATGTCAGCCGCCTGAAAGGAAGAAGTCACACTTGTGCACTAACCAAAAATTTTTAACAGCAGCACATACTCTGCAGGCCTCATGGACCTTAAAACTTTTGGAGGAAACGTTCTCCCGTATACCTTTTCCCCATGGGGATTAGAGTGGGAAATAATTGGTGTCGCTCTACCCAAAATTTCAACTGCTAAAATGATCTCCAGTGAAATAATTGCATTGCAATTTATTTGCAGTGTTGGTGTAGCTATATTCAGGAGCGCCGCCAGCTTTTCTGCCACCCTAGATGGCGGAAGGTCCCACCCCGAAATGCCGCCCCCCCACAGAGGCGGCAGAAGATCCTGCCGCCGAAATACCGCCGCGGTCGCCGCCCCCCAAATTGTAGAGCCCTAGGCGGCCGCCTAGGTCGCCTAATGGGGTGTGTCGGCCCTGGTTATGTTGGTTCCAGCACATTAGAGAGACAATGTGAGTGAAGTAATACCTTTTATTGGACCAGCTTCTGTTGGTGAGAGAGACCAAAAGAAGAGCTCTGTGTAATTCAAAAGCTTGTCTCTTTCACCAGCTGAAAGTTGGTCCAATAAAAGATATTATCTTTTGCAATGTATTGTCATTGTTAGTGTTCAGAGTCAATGGTTATTTACATGAAATGGAACAATTGACTTCTCTCAGACACTACTAAATATTTTCCTAATCTAGACGATTTCATTGGTTAATACTTTACATACATTTTTAACCATCACTTTGGATGGACCTTTCCATTGAACACACCCAGCTAACGTTTTTTAAACACCACTGTCTTTTTCTACTCTACCTAGTACCTTGTGCTTAAAAGCATGTTAATTAACACATATTAGTCAATGTATTTGCTAGACACACCCTATTTTTCTAGTCTAG